GTAATTGTTGTTTTTATCATCATATCTATCAATATCAATAAATCTTCTGATTTCACCATGATTACTATGAGCATCACCACCATCACTACTACAATCGGTATAAGGAAAAGCATAATATCAACACTACCCTAACGGATGAATAAAAGAAAATAGCCCCCGCCCCCCGCACACTCACCCTTTACAAAACGTGCCGCCGAAACGGACCATCTTCCGGCACCTCGTCTCCAGCGTGCTGATCCTGTCGAAGAAATCGGCCACGTCTTGCAGCGCCACGTTGTCGTTCTTACTGCAAGGACAGAGGGAGAGGTCGGGCTTTCTTGGGTTCTATCTTATTATATATAATACTTGTATTAATATTTTGTTCGAGTGTATATTTACAGTACATGTGAATAAATAAAATTAAAAAATACATACATATATATATATATATATATATATATATATATATATATATATATATATATACATAAATATTTAAACACAAACACATATGCACGCGCGTGCGCGCGCGCACACACACAGACACACACACGTGCGCGCGCATCTTCATTAACATATATGTCCAGCCTGTGCATACCAACCTTCTCGATGACTTATGCAACCTAATAAAAGCAGGTTCCTCGGAGTCCAAGGTTAACGAAGCTGCTTTTTCCTTCTCGCTGATGACGGAGAGGAACATCATACCACTGTAGAAGGCCAGGACGCAGAGGTAGCCCGCAAGAGGGGTAATGCGCAAGCGTATTCTAGCCATCATACTACTGAAGAGAAATGGACAATGCATAAATGATGGAGTGGATCATATACGATTAGGCAAGAAGAGGATCAGGAACAGCAGTTCGGGACAAACATTTATATTACGCGACTATTTAAAAAGTAGATTTTCTTGTGCAAAAGGAAATGCAGCCAATATGATCATGTAGCACAAGTTACGAACCTCTTTATATGCAAATCATGAATTCACCTTGCCGTTTGCATTAGACGGCGGCCTGTGAATAGTAAAAAGCTTAAAAGGATCAATACAATAGCTGTCATGTAACGTACTGCATGTTGTTTGAACGAAAATACGTAAGAATAACTAAGATTTTCTATAACTAAGGTGTTTATGTTAGCTACAAACATTTTAAAGCACAAACATAATGCTTAAATACGAAACGATCGAGATTCAGTCTCTCTTTACAGCTAATATATTTGTCAGTCAAAATGACCGTTGCGACTATGAGTCAACTTTATAACACATATACGTAGCAGTCCAAAATAATTAATGTTTTTATTATTATAATTTCTCTCGCTACATGTAACTTAAACTCGTTTGACAGAACTACTTGGGGAGAAATGAACATTAAAGCCTTATACCATATAATCACCGAAAATACACATATAAATAAATATACGAACATATACAAGCATAAATGAACATGGTAAATATTCAGAATATCTTCGCATGAACTATCACGACGATGTCATATATAGCGAACTGGTCAATATCTAGTCAAATGCAAGGGGCTCAGCAACCGCCCCCCCCCCCCCCCCCCCCAATGGGTGTGTTGGGGAGGGTGTACTGGACAACAAAGAATCCACAACGTATGTACAGCAGGATAGACCTCGGACTACATCGGGCGATCCCGCGTGTCGGTCGAACCCTCTGCCTTGCCGTGAATACGTGGAGGATTCTGTCTTCCAAGACGGGGGTTTTAAGGCGGTAGGACCCCCATGGGGAGTGGTCGCAAAGCCCCTGCACTAGATAATATATGACTTATTCTGCATATATTATGATAATGGCGTATTTCGTGTGTATTATTCACTTTTTTCCGCCAATTTCCCGGGTATATTTCACGCCCTCCCATGACAAGAACATGGAGTTGGTGGGGGGAGGGGGGTTCGGCCCGCGGTATAATTGCTATACATATTTGTACTGGTTGGTGAGAGAATCCATCCTTGCAAAAATCGTCACGATCGGTTAAGCGAAGATATCCTAAGCAACTACCAACGCCATGTACGTATAAAGATAAATTCAACGATTTTTTGGACGAGGAATGCTTCTCTACTCTAGTTAGAGAGAAAGGAAAAAAATAATGAGAAACTTGACAATAAGTATGACTTGCACGTTAGCCAGTCACGCATTTGCCTTTGCTGCATTTCACGCAAAACATCGATCTGTTTAGTACCAATACGATATCAGCATCGATCTGTTTAGTACCATTACGATATCAGAACTCATGCAATGTTTGTTATAATGGCAATAAGATTATTGATAAAGATGGTATTTCTCTATGAACGAAAGTAATCACGAGCTTTTAAACACCTCCCGCCTTTTTACAACTGTATTTAGCTCCACGTGACTATTTTTATCATATCTTGTTTCCTAGTCGTTTTATTTGTGAAGTGTCTTAATTTTACGTATTTAAGCGATAATTACTCAAATATAACGTTTGTTTACCTGTCTCTTACTTTACTCACTGGACAAACGATGATGATGATGATAGTTATAATAATAATAATA